TTTGATTTGAAACTGTCTCATTGCTATTTGTTTATCAATAAAATTATGAAAAAAATATTGTGTGCTGGGGATATTAACCTTTAGGGGACAGGCAGAGGAGGGATCAGGAAGGTGGTGGTAAAGAACTAGGAGAAAAGGGAGTTGCAGGCATGGGCTCCCCATCTGGTCAGACCCATTTACACCAGCAGTCTGGTCTACTTATTAATCGCCACCCCCCTCACTCTCAAAAGGAGTCAGTTGGAGGATTCAGTGCATGTTCCCCTGTGGTGCTTCTGCTCTGAGAGGTTGGACGTGAAAAGAGCTGAGTAGATTTGCCCATCAGATCTGCCCACGAAAGACTCTTATAGGAGTGACATAGGCAAATGAGAGTATATTCATTCATTTTCCATTGCTATCACAAATTATTTGAGGCTGGGTATTTTATAAAGTAAAGAGGTTTAGTTAGCTTACCATTTTAGAGACTGAAAGTCCATGATTGGGTGGGGCCATGTCAAGAGATTAGGGAGAAGCCAGGCAAACTCTGTCCCCCCCTTCCTTTGGGTACTAGGGACAGAACCCAGACTTTACACATACTAGTACTCTATCACTAAATTATATTTCCAGTCCTTTTATTTTTACTATTTAATTTTTGAGACAAGGCCTTGATATGTAGTTTGAGGTGGTTTTTGAACTCTTTATGTAGTTTAGGCTCCCCTCAAACTTGTGGTGATCCTCCTGCTGCAGCCTCCTGGACCACCATGCCTGGCTTGTCTCTTTTCAAAATTTTTATTTTGTATATGGTCTTGTCAATTTACCTAACCTGGCCTCGAACTTGTGATCCTCCTGCCCCATTCTCCCATGTGGCTGGGATTATAGGGGTCTGCCACTATGCCCTGCTGTATTATAAACAGTTCTCAGCAAAGTGCCTCCCACTCAAGCCACCCCTTAAAGATTCTATATCACCTCCCAGTGCCACACCGGGGATCAGGTCTCCAACACATGACCCCTGAGGTGCACACACTAATCATATTCAAGTCATGGCAGGCGGACAGCCTGCTGGTCACAGGCTTCAGCTGGATGGGAGCCAAAGCACGAAGAACAGACTTCGGGCATGCGTGCATCGTGGGCCTCACTCTAGAAATGATGCTTTTTTCTTACCCCATGAGCCTGGGCAGAGCCTTAGGCTCTATGGCTGGGCATGGTGGCACACAACTTGGGATCCCTCCCGGCACTCTGGAAGGCTGAGGCAGGAGGACAGGTTGGAGCTCAGCCTGGGCAACTTAGTGACTTAGCAGGACCCTGTCCAAAGACTTTAGAGAAATACAACAAGGGCAGGGGATGCAGTTCAGTGGAGAAGCCCTGGGTTCAATCTGCAGGACTAATAAAACAAAACCTTGCTAAGCAGCTGGGGGTAGACAGAGCACACACGAGATGAACAGCATCAGCAGGAAGGCATGACATCTCCAGGGCAATGCAGTAAGCATATGTCTGTGTAATTTTATTTCTTACCAGGATCTTTTCTAAGGTCCACACTATCCCCCTGAACCTCTCCCTTGGCCAGACCTTCTGGGGGTGCCCTCACCTAACTCAGCATTTTGTTTCACATATATCTTGGTCTGCTGCACTCTTGACTCTAGTACATGAAATATGCCTGGGCTACGAAGGTTTGGGTCCCTGCACTGTGCACATGGCAGGCTGAGGAATCTATGATGGCAACAGGAAGTGAGGACAGGGAAAGAATAGGAGAGAAAAGTGTACAGACAGGATGTGCCCTCCAAAGTCATATCCCCAGTTACCGACTTACCCAGCTAGACCCCCCCCCCTTTTTTTTTTTTTTTGCGGTACTGGGGATTGAACTTAGAGCCTTGCACTTGCCAGGCAAGCGCTTATTCTACTGAGCCCATAGATCCCCCTCCTAATGGCCATTCAGTTCATGGATTCATCGGTGGATTAATCTATCGATGAGGTCACCACCCTCACAATGCAGTTACTTCTCGGAGTCCCACCTCTGGTCACTGCCACATTTGGGGTGGAGCCCTGGATAGAGTCTTTGGGGGAACACTTCATGTTTCCAGGCTTTTGGGAGTTCAATTTCAATGGTGTTCCTTCAGCATCTCCATGTGGCTGTGATTGGCCACCAGGAGGCGCAGTGGAGCCAGAGACTAAGGAAGGAGGCCTCTTTAGGGGATGCTGGAGTATGGAGGTAGGGGTGCCAGCTGAGGTCTTGATGTGTTCTCCCTACCTCAGGTAATGCGTGTGGGGCGTCTTTCTGGTCAACCTGGATAAGTTTGTCGATGGTCCCTAACAGGGGAAAGATGGGAAGCAGCCAGGAAGTAGGTGGTAGAGGCCATAGAGTGAGCCCCCCACCCAGTTTGGGTAGGCCTCACACAGCAGGGGGAGCCCTGGGAGAAGGAAACCCCAATGATAAGAAAAACAGTGTATGTGTCTGGGCTGGTCTTGGGTCTCTCCAAGGTCAGGGCCAAGTATTTGTCATGCAGGGCTGGCATTGCAGTCCCTCCCCAGGTCACAGTGAAAGCACGCATCGCCTCTGCAGTGGGGGAAGGGTGCAGTGGGGGAGGGGGTGCTCTGGGATCTCAAGGTCTGGGACAGACAGGGGTGAGATGGTAGGAGGACAGGGAAGATGCTGGCCAGAGAAGAGCTGAGGCAGGCAGGGCAGGAAGGGAGGAATCCTGAACTGTGTGAGAGGTAGGGGGCCTGGGTTCCCCCCAGGGGAAACGCTCACCCCAGGTGCTCACTAGTCCTGCAAGGACTGGAGCCAAGGTGAAGGGCAGCCAGAGTTCTAGAGTCCAGATGCTGAGCAGAGCAATCTTTTGAATATGTAAGAAAACTTCAAGGACACACATAAAAATGCATGAATCGGCAGCTTGAATTCGCCAGCTCCCTGACTTGAGCCTTCAACTGAGGAATTGAAATGGCCGTCCCAGCATCCCAGAGCCCCTGGGCAGCCACTGACCTAGTCCTCACAGGTGTGTGGCGTCTCACAGTCCTGCTCTCATGCCCTGGCTTCTCAAGTGTTGTGTCATCACCAGTGGCGTCACATTTCAAGTGATTTGTTCGGCAGGACAAGAGCTACTCTGTGCATATTCCACTGTCCTTTCTTGGCATTGTCAGTATTTAGATTGCTTCCAGTTTAGAAACTCCAGAAAGTGCTACTAGGGGCCTTCCCGGGCTTTTTGAGTGTTGGTTTTGCACATGAAGGAGTGGAGTGGAGCCTGCTGCCTCCCAAGATGGGGTTCGTGTTCCCTACAGGACTATCATGTGGATTGTGAAAGCTGCTTAACCCGGGCTCAGCATGAAACAAGGGACAGAAATGGCAGCAGGGCGCACAGGCCGCCTGAACGGGGCGGGGAGGGGGGCGGGGGGGCACGGGGATGTGGGCAAGCTGGCCTCTGAGGGGCAGAGGGTGAGCGCTGGTGCCCAGCTGGCTGGGTAATCCCTGCGCATCCACTGTGCCAGCACTGACGCTCATGCTCAGGACAGGGACAAGGTCTGAGCTGCTAAGCCCCACTGGCACTGCCCCCTTGCTGGCGGGGCCAGGGAATTAGAAAGCTCTGAGAATTTCGTATGCTGCCAGCGGCGCCTGCCACAACCTCCTTGAAGCCTGGAGTCTGGGTTCCTTGTTTCCCGAGTCTGTAGATGGGCCCCCAGGGACACTGAGGCCCAGCTTCCAAGTCCTGGTATGTGACACTCATGGCTCTCAGACATGGGATTTTTGAATATCTTTGAGGACAGGGGTGGGGAGGGGGATGTTGGGATGGGGATGACCTCCTTTAGGAAGTGTGAAGAACTGGGACGCTGCAGACCGTCATTAGTGACGCACCCATACGGGTTCACCCTAGATGAAGGGTGGGGCTGGACTTGTCCTGTGTGCCCTCTGTGCCTGCTTCTTCCCACCGCCACATCTTCCAAAGCCCCTGCCTCCCTCCAGCCAACCAACCCTATCCCCCATCTGGCACATCCATGGCTGTCTCTGGCCATCTGGACTCCTGGAGAGCCCTCTATAACTTTCTTTCTTTTGCTCTCCTGGGAAGTAAACCCAAGACTTCAAACTCAGCTACATCCCCACCCCTTTTCAGAATTTCTTATTAAGACAGTCTTGCTAAATTGTCCAGACTGGCCTTGAACTTCTGATCCTCTTGCCTCAACTTTCCAGAGTGCTGGGATTACAGGTGAGTACTACCACATGCAGCATTAGGCCCACTTTGAGTAAGGAGCTTTGTCCCGCAGGACTGAGGGCAAAGCTCCTGGCCACGCTGTTCTGCATCCAAAGGCCCATACGCCTCCCTCCGGGCAGGTAAGACACGCCAACAGCAGCAGTGTGGGAGGCCTGGGCACCTGCCCACCCTGCAGTTGCAGCAGAAGGGGTCACGGGGACGCGTGTGCCCTGCTCCTGCCTTGGGCAGTGGTACTGGGTGCTCCAGGCTCCGTCAAGCCCTGTCCTTCCCTGGGGCTCAGATGCATCAGGAAGGCAGAGATCCAGTCTGGAGTTCTGGAGGTACTATCCTGAACACCCTGACCCCAAGAAAAGGTAGGGGAGAGACAGCACCTATGTTTGAGGTTTCCAGAATCTGCCCTGGGGAAGGAGCCCATCACTTTGCAGGCTGGCCCCGCCCTGACACCAGACACATGACTTATCTTTCTCTTGGGAATGAGGCTCAGACCTGACCCTGGCACTTGTTCTGCAGGGGCAAGGCCTTCTCAGTGACAAGGCCACATCAGGAGCTGGGACGTCACAGAGAGGCACCAGCAGCCATGTCCATGCAGAGCATCCTCGCCCTGAAACCTGAAGTCCTGAGCCTGCCACCTGGGACTTCAGAGTCCCTGAGCTACCAGCGGCGCCACACGCTCCCTGCCAGTGAATTCCGCTGCCTCACCCCGGAGGATGCTGTCAGCGTGTTTGAGATTGAGCGTGAAGGTGAGTGACTCCACTCAGGCAGGGAGCACTAACCCAGCCCGGGAGTCCTGCCCGAATCTCCTGCCCTTCAGAGCTAGGTGCAAAAAAAATATTAGATCATGTATGCATTTAACAACGTGGGGGACACAACTGCCCTGAGCTACTTGTCTTCCTGTGTGTGTGGGTGCATCTGAGTGGCACTTGCTGTGCAGTGTCCACTGAGTCACCCACATATGCCCCCTGCCACAGCCTTTATCTCTGTCTCGGGCATCTGCCCCCTGTACCCGGATGAGATTCGACACTTCCTGACTTTGTGTCCCGAGCTGTCCCTGGGCTGGTTCGAGGAAGGCCGCCTTGTGGCCTTCATCATTGGTTCCCTTTGGGACAAGGAGAGACTCACTCAGGTGAGGTGGGGGTGCCATGATGTCTGGCTCCTGGGAGGCCTCTGGAGGCATGGCCAGGCACTGGGTGGACAGTGGGCAGGGAGCTCCAGGGCTGGGATTTCTCCTCACAGAACCAGAGATAAGCACAGGCCACAGCCCCCCCCACCCCAGGACAAGTGCCTAGCCCTACCCTCTGGGGTCTTAAAGAACTTCTAGTTTCCTCCAGGGGCTGGTGGCATATCTCCCAACTTTGGGCCCTCCTTGGGGAGGAAAAGATCCCTTTAAGAGGTACTGCCCTTGGCCTTGGTTGGGTGGTTTGGGGGAGCACGTGTCACAGAGGTGACTGGGACTCCCTTACCCTGCTCACCCCAGGAGTCGCTGACACTGCACAGGCCCGGGGGCCGCTTGGCCCACCTGCACGTGCTGGCTGTGCACCGCACCTTCCGGCAGCAGGGCAAGGGCTCTGTCCTGCTGTGGCGTTACTTGCAGCACCTGGGCAGCCAACCGGCTGTGCGACGGGCCGTGCTCATGTGTGAGCATGCGCTAGTGCCCTTCTATGAGAAGTCTGGCTTCCAGGCTGTGGGCCCGTGTGCTGTCACCGTGGGCTCCCTCACCTTCATGGAGCTCCAGTGCTCGCTGCGCAGCCACATCTTTCTGCGTAGGAACAGTGGCTGCTGAGCTGGGCTGCCGCCTGCCCTGGGAGGTGGGGTGGCAGGCTGGGGCTCCTGTCCAGCCTCCATGTCCCTTCTCTGCTACCCTGGCCTAGCTAAGCAAGAGGGCAGACAGTGACTCCCAGCCAGAGTGGTCAAGGGAGAGAGCCCACACTTTTAGATAGAGCAGGCATGCCGTGTCCTCGGTTCTCGCAAGGCCCTTTGAACTCCTGCCCTCCACACTCTGAGCCCAAGACCCAAGACCAGGGTAGACTGGTAAATGGGGACGGTGGGAAGTGTTTTCAGGTCCCTTCCGCATGTCCTGCCTCATCTTGATGCTCGGGGACCTCATGGACACCCTTTCTTGGCCTTGGCCCCTGGTAAGGGGGAGAGTGAGAAGCAGTATGGGGAGAGGCCAGGGTCCTCGTGATGGGACAGAAGGGCACACCAGGGCCACTTCCTCCTCCTGCTAGGGGCCTGTGTGCCCTACCTGCCCCCTCTTCCCACCTGGCCATCCCACAGTCCTACATGGGTCCTCTACCACAGAATAAAGCAGTCACATTTCCTGGTACCTCCTTGGTGACTTGCTGGTGTGCTGTGGGGCTGTGGGAGGTCACAGGCGTGCTGCGTGGACTCATCCCTGGCTGGAGTAGTGGAAGTGCCTTGCCTTCTCCCCCCAGAGCACCCTCACTGCAAAGGCAGAGCAGGCTGGGGTGAGGCCTGTGAGTCTCAGGATGCCACTCAGCCCTTGCAGGAACTCTCTGAGGTCTTCCCTCCAGCTCCAAATAGTTTTTGGTCCAATTAAATCTCAAGAAGTCTTACAAGTTTTTTGCTGCCCCCTGAGTCGAGCCAGTGCTTCTGAACTGATGCCTTCAACCCCAGAGATCCTTGCACTGGTGGTCTCAGGTAAGAGAGAGTATTTTCACAAAGAATATCATTTAATACCTTGAGACATCATCCATACAAAGTTAGCGTTACCTTTAAAAATTAGGACCATAATATAAACTAGTAAAAAACAAAACAAACAAAATAACTCCAGACCCAACACAACTGAGTGTTGGGCACCCCCCTGGGAGCAGGTCCTCAACCCTGTCCCCTTCAGAGTAAGGCAGAGGAGGTGAGGAGCAGCTGGCATCAGAGAAAACCTGTGAGGCAGAACACTGAGCCAGGACAGGGCTGATGGTGGGCCCGGGGAGCCAGAGTCCCTGTCTGGTCACTGTCTTGCTTGGTCTCTGTGCCTGGACCAACGCCGAAGCCTCTCCCAGAATGCCCTGTCCGAAGCCCTGGGGGAGGCTCACCAGGCCACAGATGAAACAGGGGAGGAAGACGAAGGGGACCACAGTGGGGACTCTAGACCTGGGGCCACAGGGGGAGCAGCCATGTGTCTGGCAAGGGATTGCTCACAGTAACAGTGGGGAGCAGCACCAGCAGATGCAGCAGCCCTGGGCCCTGGAAAGAAAATAAACTGTCCCCAGAAGGGCCTGGGGGCTGGGATTGGACAGAGCCAAAGCTTCAGAGAAGTAGGTATCCTGAGTGTCCCCAAGCTGGGCCAGGAACACCCAGGCCTGAGAAAGGGGGGGACCTGATACGCCAGCATCTGCCTTTACTGGCTGTCTCAGACGAAGCCGGCCCTGTCTCACCAGTTGAGTGCCCGGGCCCAATGCCAGTCCCAGAGTCTCTGGTACTGGCAAGAAGTCTTACAAAAGAAGTCTTGTAAGACTTCAGGGGTCAGTGCAGCACCTGGTCCAGCTCGTACTTCTCACAGAAGTGGCTGGTGAAGGGAAAGCAGGTGAGGTACTCAATCCAGGACCACTTGATGGGGTAGATGTAGAGCCAGAGTACCAGGGAGACAAAGAGGCCGGTGAAGACCAGCAGTGACACCAGGATGAGCACGCGCTTGCGGTACTTGTCGCTGGTGCCAAAGGTGATGTAGGGCAAGAAGGCAAAGGCCAGCAGCATGCCACTGAGGAAGCCAAAGATATGGGCGATATTGTCGATCCAGGGCAAGAGGCCACAGATAAACAGGAACAGCACAATGGCCGACAGGTTGAAAAAGGCCTTCCAGGGCCGTTCCAGCAGCTGCCAGCTCTGGAAGAGCTCCACAAAGAGGCAGGCGAGGAGGCCAAACTGTGACCCAGCCGGGCCCACCTGGGTGGAGGAGGGGAGATATGTGCTTGGAGTACCAGGTACCAGCTGGATGAACAGCACCAGGACCTACCTCCCGGGCAGAGGCGAGATCCTGGCTTGGGCTTCAGCATAGCTGGAGCTTCCAGATCAAGCCTGGGCCTACTCCCCCTTTCCTGTCAGCACACAGCAAACACCTACTGTGTTCCTGCCAGTGTGGGACCCACCAATCAGCAGGACAAACACCCTGGCTCTGGGTGGGCAGCTACAGTGGGGAGTGGACAGGTCAGGACAAGCAAGAGTTAGGTTGAGCGGGAGCTAAGATCGTCAGGTCTGCAGGCCGAGAGCCATGTGTTTCTGGGAAGGCCCTTGGTTAGAATGCGGAATGCAGCAGTGAAGAGGGACAGGGAAGCGCTTGCTGCAGGGAAGCACTGAGCAGAGAGGGGGCCGGTGTGGGCGGTGACTCAAGATCACCACTGCTCCCTCCTGTTAGGCATTAAGGGAGCAGCCAGTAAGCCCGGCTTAGCTGTCTACCCGCTGCTGAGCCCGCATGGGAGGGGTCCTGTGTCCTGGCACAGCCCAAGTGGGTGGGAGGGGAGCAGGGGCTGGGCCCTGCCACGGAGCATAAGGCTAGGGTCAGAGGCACCACCTCCCACCCTCCAGCCCTTTCCTGCACATCCCTACCTCTGCCCGGTATGGGAGGAAGATGGCACTGGCAAGGTTGCCTGTGATGCCGCTGAGGAGAAAGATGATAGCAATGCGGTGCCAGCCAGCCAGCTTCTCCAGGTCGCGCAGGATGGTCATTTGGAAGATCACAGATACGAGGCAGTGCACCAAGCTGGAGGCCAGGGCACACCGGTATGGTCAGCACTTCAGGAATGGCAGGGTCAGGCAGGTTAGGGTGCAGGTGGGTAGCATCACATAGGTCTAGGTTGGGGGTAGTGAAGACCCTCTTACCCAGCATGTAGGAACAGAGACAGCCAAAGCCTGTAGAACTGATCTGGGATCTCAGGGTTGAGGAAGGGCAGCAGCCCACACACGTTATCCAAGCAGTGCACCTGGGGGTGTGGGCAGCGCGTGTGGTCAACGCTGGCTGTCCAGGGACCCAGTGTGGCAACATGAGAGCCCCTGCAGGCCTCTGTACCCAGCTTCCTCTGCCCAGCCTGACAGCCCTTGCCCTGCTGCCTCCAAGACCTCACCCCACCTGGGAACAGAGTGTCGCCTCTTCATGGAAATAGCCGTGCATGAACTCACAGTACTCCCGAGTGGTGATCTCACAGCTGGGGCACAGGAAGGAAGAGGCGGCATGAAGAAGCCCTGCACACCTCCCCTGGAGCCCAGCACCTGGCCCCCAGGCAGGAAGGGGAGCCCTCAGCCCAGGAAAGCGCCCCTTGCTCCTGCTCACACCATGGGTGGCCCTGGGCAGGGGACAGATCTGCAAGGGCATCAGCCTGGGGGTGGCAGTACCAGGCCAGCTCACCTGCCCTTGGTGCCAATGCAGCAGGGGCGACCTTTGATCGTGCAGTCTATGTGCAAGAAACCTGTGTGGTTGCTCTTGGACTGTTCTGTGCAGATCTGCGGAGGGGACAAATCGGGGGTAGCCCTGAGTGACGGGAAGCTGCACATCTCCCTCCTTCCCAAACTACTTCTGTCCTGGGGTACTCACGTGGGGGACTCACTCACCGGCCACTTGGTGATGTCATCAGGCCAGATGTGGGCACCACTAGAGGCCGGCTCCTCACAGGTCCTGGAAGCAGAGATCAGATTGGGCAAAATGAGGAGCTGGGCACCTCTGCCTGCCACGCCCACCAGCAGCATCCCACCATGTGGCTGAGGCAGTCTGGCTGTGGGCTATTGTGGACCCATGGACGGCTCAAGGCTGTACCTGGGGTCCTGGTTGCACACAGCCCCTGACGTCCGCCTCTGACCTAGATCAGACTTGTCCATAGGTGGCCCAGTATCATCCTGCCACTTGACAAAAGTGGCCAGAGTCTCCTGGAGGTGGAGAAGGTCTGGTTACACTAGGGCAAGGTCAGAGCATGGATGCAGACAAAGGGCCCTCCAGGACAGGGCTTCTCCCATTTCCCAGGGCTCAGGCCCATCTCCCAGACCTCTACCATGGCCTGAAACCTGGCCCTTGGGCAAGGGCCTGGGGGGCTGAGCTGGGGGAGTAGCAGGGACTGATGAGCAGCAGGGTCTTCTGTGCTGGGCTGAGTGCCTGCGGGTGTGTATGAGGCTTTGGGGCTGGGTGGATGGAGGGGACAGGCCACAGCCCTTAAAGGATTCTCCCCAGGCCGCAGCAGGGAAGGACCAGAGTAGGGATGGCAGGGACCAGAGGAGCCCACCGAGCAGTCCTTCCTCTGGGTCTGGATACAGCCCGAGTGGTCATTCTGGACACAGCAGCCCGAGTCTCGCTCCAGGTCACGCTCCTGCTGCACCAGCTGCTCGATCTGCCGATCCTTCCGGATGCAGGGGGAGAATTTGGCCCCCAAGTGAATCAGGTCAATCTGGGAGTGGGACAGGGCATTCGTGAGCCTGGGCCCAGACTGGAGGAGCCACCACACTACCTCTACTCCATTAAGTTTCCCCCAAGGAGGGGACTCCAGGTAGGCAGCTGCCCACCTGCCCAGCTCAGGGAGACGGGACAGAGGGGCTCCCTGTTCTGATGACATCCCCTGCCTGGGCCTCACCGAGCTGGGGCCGACCCAGAAGTTCTCCTGCTGGATAAATTTCACGCTCTCGTACACACCCTTGTTCCTCAGCACCTGTCACAGAGGTGGTACCAGAAGAGTAAGCCTGGAGCCAGGGAGTGGGAGAGAGGCAGGACAGTCCCCAGGGTGCAGCCTCCAGGAAGGAGCCAGGCCAGGGTGGGCCTGAGCACCTCCTGCTTGGGCCAGGGTGTTGGGGCGACAGAGATTTGACGCCCACCATGCTTGAGCCTCAAGGGGACCGTGCGAGGAGCTGGACTCACCAGCTGGGTGGTGGCGTGCTGCGCAAAGCCCACGGGCGCAATGCCATAGGTGCAGATCACCAGCAGTGTGATGATGATGTGGACAAAAGTCAGCCAGTAGGTGAAGTAGGGCCTGCGGCAGAGCTCCGGTCAGCCCAGCCCCACCTGCCCCACCTGGGCTCTCCGCTCTCCCTTCCATTCATCCCAGCTCATCCTCCCCTAGAGCAACTTAGAGACACATGTCTCTCGGCTTAAAGCCCTTGATGGCTTCCCAGTGCCCTTAGGGTGGCTGCACGGCCTTGTTGCACTTGGCCCACTTCTGCTGTGCTTTCCTCTCCTCCTCTTACAGTTTCTGGAACATATCATAGTTCCCACAGTCCCAGGACCTCTGCTCAATGTTCTGTTGCCTGGCAGGCTTTGCCCATTTCTCTTCACCCACCTTATCCTGACAGCAAATCTCTGCGAGCTCTTCACCCCCACTCTCTGTCCTTCTGTCCAGGACACTCGTTATACTTGTTCTTGCTCGTTATTTGTAATTTGAGGTCCAGTGTACGTGAGCATCACCTTCCCCAATCTTGTTTCTCTCAAGGGCTCAGTGCATGGCCTCCCTTGGTGCCCCTCCCGGCCCAGCTTCCACCTGTCCCTCTGATCTGCCCTGCTCCCTGCACCCTTCTGTCTGGGCTGTTTCAGGACCTATGTGTGGTGGTGCTCTGTGAGCCAACTATCTGGACACCAGGCTGAGGATGCAGGAGAGAAAGGAGGTGAAGGACAGGCAGTAAGCCTCTGGGGCTCCCCAGGCTACACTGTGCCCCACAGCGCAGCTGTGGCTGACCACATGGCTGACACTCCTGACCACAGGGGATGCGCCTCTCGTGCTCGCTGACCATGGAGCTTACGCACTTTGGGAGAGCTCCCAGGCCCCAGAGGCTCTCGGTCCCTCGCCTCTCAGGACAGAGCTCACCGGTGGCTGTCGAAGCTCTCCAGCTGCCGTTGTACCGTGCTGCTGATGCTGCGGCGATAGCTGCGGTTCAGCCAGTTGCCCACCACGCCCAGACCATAATGCCGCTTCTTCCGGTCAAAGGCAAAGTGCTTCACAGTAGAGGCAATGCGCTTGCCGCGCCGGGTCACTGGGGTGGGGGTGTGGCCACACTCTTTCCTAGTGGGGATAGTGGCTCTCACTCCGAAGTCCTTTTGTCTCCCAGACACCCACCCCCAGGGCCACAGGCTGGGTTGCTCCGTGCCCCACTCACAGAGGGATCTGCACCCTGTCGGGGGAGACTGGAGAGGCTGAATGTGGGATCGCTCGGAAATAGCTAGCAGAGAGTGGGGGAGACTCGAACACATCATCGGGCATGGAGCTCATTTCTTCCTGGGGTGGAAGACACAAAAGATGGTATAAGTAGTTACTGTCCCAAATACTACCCCTTTCTACTCCAAATCATGAGGAAGACAAGCGTGGACAGACAGGCTCTTTAGGATGGAAGGAGAAGCCACATGCCTGTCAGTCCTGAGAGTGACTTTCCTTGTGGTCACTGTCCCCCCACTCAACAGCTCCACGCAGGACACAGCCCATCCCACCAGTTGTCCACAGGCCTTTGCATCTTTTAGGGGCTCCACAAGACATGATCAAGGCTGAGGCTGCCCCGCCCAGCTCCTACACTGCCCCATCCCCGTCCCCCAAGGGCCCATTCCCCATGCTTGCCTTACTAAAAAAAGAGGAGTCGAAGGTGTCTGCTCCATCGACCACGTCCTCCTCTAGGAAGCTGGGGTAGGCAAAGCTGCGTTTGATCACCCGGCACCGCTGTCCAGTAGCATCCAGCACTGAGCGCCCCTGCACGTGAGGCAGAGGCCTGGGCATCAGGACTCAGGCACAGCAACCCAGGTCACCAGCCCCTCAACACCTAAGGACTTGTCCTGGGAGCTGTCCTGGGAGCAGCACCTTGGGAGTGGGTCCGGCCCCAGCACCGTGCACAAGGGAAGTGTACAGGCTCTTGAGGGTGGAAGGCTGGAAGGTCCCCTGGCCCGGATGATCCTACTCTTCATAGTCAGGAGTCAGCTCCTCCTGGGCAACCTCTTGCTGCTCTGATATGAACAGCTGACATGCTAACACCCAAAGCACCCTGGATTCTAGAACCTTACTCTCCCCAAGTCTTCAGCCGAGCTCCCCCATTCTGTCTCTTGGCCTGGCATGCCTGGCCCCGGCCCACCTATCTGAGCCCATCTCCCGCCACAGCTTTCATGTGATCCTCACTAAAGCCACATCCAACTGCTTTCCCAAGCACCACGCTCTTGGCAGGACCACAGGGCTTCTGCCTAAGCCATTCCCACAGGTAAGAATGCTATTCCCTCCTTGCCTTCCCTGTGCTACTGCCTTCCCTGATACTAGCCCTCTCCCCAACTGACCACCAATGGTGACATCACCCCGCCTCAGGCGCTGCCATACCCAGCAGGCTCATTAGCACAGGTGGGTGACTGGGCACCTCTCACCTCCTACTTCCCTGGTTAGAAGCAGTCAGTGCAGACTGGCTTCCAAAACAGACAGGCAGTGGGGGCCTCACGTGGGAACTGGGGCAGCCCTTCTTCCCAGAGTCCCAGCACACCCACTGGCCTTGTACAGAAAGCAGGCACCTAGGTGGGAGGAGGAAGGTGGGGCCCTGACTGGAGGAGGGGTCCCCACCTTCAGGAGGGCAGCAGCAGCCTGGAAGCTCATGTGGGCCACGGATATCCTCTTGCGGCGGGGCAGGTGGCCGGAGCGGATGCTGGTGAAGGAGGTGAGGGATAGGACCCCAGGGGTCAGTGGCGGGTGGGGGGCGTGGGGCCGGTCTACCTCATCTGGGTGGCGGAAGGCCCGGCCCCGGGCCAGCGGATCCACAATCTGGAGAAGATGGAGGGTGAGCAGGGTTGACCAGTCCCCAGTGGGGGGAGCCACACAGCTGTCCCATCCCCACAAATTTCACCTTTGGCATCTTGCAGGGCTTTGGAGACTCGGTTCCCTGGAAGGACAGCCCCTCCTGGCTGGGCAGTTCCAGGTCCCTCTGGCACGAGGCCTTGAGCCGGCCATAGCGCACGCTGCAGTGGTGCAGGCTGCGGCGCTGCCAGTTCTGCCGCTTGCCCTCCCAGTCACCGCTGATCCCGAACCACTGGGCTGTGCCCCTGCAGAGGAGAGTGATGTGCGGGCAGCGCAAGGCCACCAAGTACACCAGGGAAGCAGAGTGAGTGTGAGGCGGCACAGGGAGTGTGGTGACTGGGTGTGCCGAGGAGGCAACGGGCGGGGGGGAAGGGGGACACGAGGGTGCACGGGTGCACAGTGGAGATGTCCACACCCTCAGGTCTATGTGCCTTCTGGGGAGGTGGGGGTCAGCCTTCCTTGAGTCCCTGACCGGAGGCTTCCGGGGCTGGAAAGGAGGCCTCTCAACTTCCCAGACCTTTCCGGCCTCTTTTGGTGAGTTTCTGCAAGGCATTAGCCTCCAGGCTGCCATTTCCCCAGCTACAGCATAACATGAGGCTCTCACTAACACAGAGAGAGACCATCTATTAATGCCTTCTTACTCCTTTGGATGGGACACAGGAGCAGGCTCAGCAAATGTCCAGGGGCCCAGTATCTGCAGAGCGCCAGGATGGCCGGGTGGGTAGGGGTGCTCACTTGCGGATGCTCTGGGACAGGGAGGTCTGACGGCGGAAGCCAAGGCGCCTCTCTGTACCATCTTGCCATTGTCCCTGTGGCTCCTGGAGGCTGACACTCTTCATGTAGGTTGGGTTCTTGGGCTTCTGTGGGAATGGGTGGTAACACTGCAGCCTCAGGCAGGCAGGAAAGGCCCCAAACTCAGCTCCACTCCACCCCCACCCCAGGTGCTTCCAGGCTAAAATTAGTTTATTAGCTAATTTGCTTGTTTTTGTAGGGCTGAGGACAGACCCCAGGGGCTTTCCCTGCTAGGCAAGCCCTCTACAGAGCCACATCTACAGCCCCTTACTATGCTTTTTTTTTTTCTTTTTGAGACAGGGTCTCACTATGGAATTCAGGCAGGCCTTGAGCTCATTTTACAGCCCAGGCTGGTCTCCAATTCAAGATTCCTCCTGCCTCAGCCACCCAAGTGCTAGGATTAGAGGCATGCACCACCACACCAGGCTCATTATACATTTAAAATCCTTATTTTCTCCTGTCTCCCAGCAAGTCCCAGCATGCCTCCCTATCCAGCACCTTTCTCCTGCACTTTGTACATTCTACATAGCTCCTGGGGTGAGCAGGCGGTGCGAACATAGTGCCCCTTTATATCCCAGCTCAGTGGGAAGCCCACGCCATCTGGGGGTTGCCCTCAATGAGCTCTTTATGGGATGGGAGCTCATGTCCATGTTCCTGAGAAGCCAGGCACTGCAGAGGCTGCTGGAGCTGTGGACCCCGTGCCCCTCAGCCCTCAGAAGGGCACCAAGAGCTGGCCGGGTATCTGCATGCCAACAGCCAGTGCCCTGCCATTCCCAGGAGCCCTTTCTGAAGGACAGCCTCTCCTTTGCCCATACCCCAGGAACTTTCTGCAATATCTTATCAGGCTGGGAAAAAGACAGCAGACCCAGGGGCCAGGCTACATGGAGCCTCCTCAGGAAGTGAAACTGTCTGAAGGTGTCATGTGGGCAAATCTACTGCTATGGCAGGACAGCGAGCCCCAGTGTGGCCCCTCACCTGGGGGATCATCCTGTCCTGCTTACTGGGGGCCTGGGCCTCCGGCGGTGGGATGGTGATGGAGAGGTTGGGTGGCTTCCGGCTCTGCAGGCGGCTACTGGACACAGAGGAGAGACTCCCGCCATTCTTGTCAGCTGAGGCCATGATGGGCAGAAGGCTAGAACAGAGACAGGGTACAGCAGGTGGCGGCACCCAAGGGGCTGGGCACCCTGGTGTCAGGGCATAGGCTCCGAGACAGACTGCACCTGGCTGGGTGAAGCATCCATCCTAAGCCTATTTCTGACCTTCATTTGCATTCTACACCAGGAGGGCCTCAACTTTCCACCTCATTTCATCTCTGGCCTCACGGTGTCAGACAAGAACCAATCCAGCTGGAATGACCCTGGCCATCTGGTCAGCACAGGCCAGGGGCCCCAGATCACCTTCCTGTGGTCAAAGGGCCCCGGCTTTGCCTTTGGGGAGGGTTTAGGGGACAACTTGGTAAAGGCTCCAGGACAACCTGCTACACTGGATCACCAACATGGCAAGTTCCCCAGCTGGTGTTTGCAGTGGCAACCAGAGGCACAGATGCTTCTTGGAGTAGGGGTTTCTACACTATGCCGCAGAAGTGGCAGCTCAGCCTAGTTTACTAGTCCCTGTCCCCTACAACTGTTAAAGGTAAATGAAAATCAGGCACAGTGACTTATGCCTCTGATCCCAGCTACTCCTGAGGTGAGAAGATCACCTGATCCATGAGTTCAAAGCCAAACTGGTCAATGTGGTGAAATCCTATCCAGGAAAGGAGAGAAGCGAGGGAGGGAGGAGAGGGAAAAAGATAACTGAAAATCCCTCCTGCCTGGTACTTTTTTTTTCCACAGTGGCAAATACTTCATCTTAACAACAGAATGGATACATGTGTATTGAAAGAAAAGACCTAGAACTAGAAAGTGTACCCCCACTTTCCCTGTCTCCACAGAGAGAGAGAGAGAGAGAGAGAGAGAGAGAGACAGAGAGACAGAGACAGAGACAGAGACAGACAGAGACAGACAGAGACACACAGACAAACTAACTTTAACTGCTCTGAAGACAGCCAATATTTCATTGAGTGGGGCCAGTGAGATAGCTCAGCGGACTAAACGCCTGCTTAGGCAAGCACAAGGCCAGGGTTTGATCCCAGGCACCACATGCCGTGCTGCTGAGCCAGCCACAGAGACCAGGCATGGTGGGGTACACCTGTAATCCCAGCGCTGGGGAGGCAGCAAACAGGAGGATCACTACGAGTCTGAACTGCATAGTGAGACTCTGTAACAAATACATTAAAAAAAAAATTTCATTGAGCGGAATGTATCAAAATTTAATCAACAGGTGGTTATTCAGAACATTTTGTGTTCAGCATTGCAACAAATACCCTTGCCCTACTGTCAGTGGTGGTGAACCTACGGCACACATGCCACAGAGGGCCATAACGTTATCACTGAAAGCTCTAGAAGGTTCGCCATCACCGCCTGAGTGCTTGTTCATGACTTACAAGTTCTAGGAAGGAGAAGCTGGGTGAAGGGCAAGCGTATCTGTGTGCCAGCAGATCCTGCCAAATGGTCCTGGACAGAGGTGGCAACTCACCCTGCTGGGCCTCTTCCTCGCTTGTGCCACCAACTCCCAATTCCTCTCTGCCTGTTTCCTTCTCTCTCTCGCAGCCCTGTTGTGCCCCGTCACCCTTTTCTGGCTAAAATCCTTGGCTGTTTTCTCTCTACCACTTCCAAGGTCCAGGGTGCGGACCACATCCTCTGACGTGACTGCTGGCCAGAAGGACTGGGTGGTGCCAGGCACACTGGTGCACAGGTACGATCCCAGTGCTCAGGAGGCTGAGGCAGGAGGATCTGTAAGTTCATGGCTAGTCTGGGCTGGTGCCTCAAAAAACCAAACCAAACCATGCAACAAAAGCCTCACACTGCTGCTCCGCAGACAGTGGGCCTGGGCCCACATCCACGTCAGCCACTTGGCCTTCTGACACTGTGGACTGCAGCTCAGCTGCCACCTCCTTGCCTGCCTGCCGCATCTCTCTGAACTAATCTTTCTTGTGGGTGCCAGGGTACAGCCAGCCCCTCAGGTACCTCCAGCATGTATGAGTGGGGCTGCCCAGCCCCACTCCAGCTGGCCCCAGCTTACCTTCAGATCTGTGGTTTCTGGGCTCCTGGGAAGGCACCTAGAGCATGTTCTGGGCCTCACCTCCCCTGTGTAGATGCCCTGGAGTCCAGCCTCAGTCTACGGATGGGGGGACAGACGGACAGCTACACAGCCGGCTCCACATAAACTTCCTTGGTGCTGTCAGCCTGAAAGAAGGAAGGGGCCTCAGGAAAGCTGCCAACCATGAATCCTTGCTTTTCTGTTTTTGTTTTGTCTTGAGTTCAGCGCATTGAACCCTGGGCCTTTGCACTGAGTGAGCTACATCCCTTGCTCTTCTTGAGATAGGATCTTGTGAAATTGCTGAGTTGCCCAGGCTGGGCTTGAACTTGGGATCCCATTTCAGCTGACTAGAGGATTCAGGTGTACACCACCAGAGCCTTTGCTCCGCAGCCCCACCCGCCTCCCCACAGGAGGCCAACGTGGGCCCCCAGGGCCTTGAGCTGTCTACCCTGAATCACCTACAGGTACTACTGGAGTCTGGAACCCATTCTTTTTTTTTTTTTTTTTTTTAATAAGGGCTTTAAATTTTAATTAGTCCACGTTTGCAGTACATGATTACACTCATCATGAAAAGCTAGGTCCCCTACCCATTTGCAAAAGACCCCTCCCTCTCCCTGCCCCCATATCTATTTTCGATTTTATTCTTTAAATTATTTATACTTTGAGTTTCTCCTAGAAGAGAACCCATGCAATATTCAAGCTGTGTGTCTGATTTATTTCACCTAACATTATGGTCTCAAGGTACATCCATCCCCACGCTTTTTCTGTCTCAAAATTATTAGAATAAAAACACTCCATTTTAACAACCTAGGAATTGTTGGCTATCTCTGATTACAACTTCCTTTCTGTTAAAATCAGCCTGATACAGCGTTGGAACTATCTGAACGTGTTTTGCCGTTTTTACTAATAATTTACTTAGGTGAAATCTGTACAACATAATCAACCGTTTTAAAGAGAGCAACTCAGAGGCATTGCTGTGTGTTTTTAGGAGATCTAGTGTGGGTGGTCGCGACGGCACAGCGAAGCTCAAGGCAGGTCCTGCTTGGAACAGATCCCAGGAGCTGCAAGGAGGCGCCCCAGGGTCTGGGCAGCACTAAGTCCGCGCGAGTCTTGTCTGTCTGTATCCTTGAGACACGCTTCAAGGTCAGCATCACTGCTTCCTTTTTCCCCCTGTGGTACTGGGACTGAAGCCAGGCCCCCAGGGTCTGAGCTACATCCCCAGCCCTTTTTATTTTTTATTTTGAGACAGGATCTTGCTAAATTACACATGCTGGACTCAAGCTTGTGATCCTCCTGCCTCAGCCTACCAGAGCGCTGGGATTACAGGCTGTGTGTGACGCCATGCCTGGCCACTGCTTCCATTTTGTAGTGGGGAATGGAGGGTCAGAGAGGCTCATTGACTTGCCCAAGCTAGCAGAGCCAGGAAGAGGCACAGCTGAGACCTAAGACATCTAGGCCCCAGGGCCAAGGTCTCCTGGGCAAGGCAGGGGCAGGGGCTCTCCTTATCTAAAGCCAGAAGGGGGGCATGCACTCAGGGTTGGAAGACCCCCCCCCCAGGAGCCAAAGTCAATCGTCAAGCAGGGAAAGACACTGGGTCTAGCATGCCAGTGCTTTTCAAAGCAGCTCCGCTGAGGCCTGGGGCTGCCCAGAGGGGAAAGGGGGGTTGCCTAGGGGCAAAGAGAGGCTTGGAGGCAGACCTAGGTCCCCCTGATTCTGCTGTCACTGTCCCCTTAGGCTTTGCATATGGATGGAGGCCTTTGGCTGCAGAAGCCCCTCACCCGAGGTGGGGGGTTCTGGTTGAGGGGGCATGCCCAGATGGGCTCCTGAGGCAGTGCCCTGGGCCCAGGCTGGTCCACTTCATTCACAGGGACCTACAGCCTGGGCTGTGGTCCCCATTTTGGCTAATGCTGGTGACCTGAGCACACACCCCTGAGATCACAGATCCATGACCCTTCCTCTGGGTTGGCTGCTGGCTCCAAGGAGCTGCACAGTCACCGAGGACACTGCTGCTCAGGGACAGCTCCAAGGCAACAGCCTCCTTGCAGCCTCTGCAGGGAAAGCTCCCCTAATACAGCCTCCTCTGGGACCAGGGTACAATGAGAGGGCACCGGGTGGGCACCACCATGAGAAACTGGCAGCCAGTGGGGAGGGAAGACAACAGAGGAAGCCAGGTGGGAGGGGAGGTGGCCAGGAGGGCAGGATCTTTCAAAGGGGATTGCACTCAATCCCAGGAGTCTGAATGTCAGATCCGCTCCACCTCCCACCAGACCCCTCACCAGGAAGCTGTGTCTCCACCACCAGACAGGACCAGCTACCACCTCACCTGCTGCCTTACAGCATCCTGCACGCTGCCTGGCCCTCAGCAGCACAGTGGCCCACACCTAGCAGGCCTCTGAATGGCTGGCGCCAGTCAGGGCACAGAGATCATGTACAGCTTTCACCCCTAGCCCCACAGCCAGCCCATAAAGTGGCCCTCTCTGGAGGGGTTCTCTCAGCGCTGCCCACCTTGCCCCTGCCCCTATGCCTGCTACATCCTTCCCAGATGGAGGACGCTGGGTGCTGGCCTGGATGAGGTCCTGATGTGCTCTCCCTCTAGTTCCCTGGCCCACCATCAACACTATCTTCAGTTCTGGGGGAGGCCTAGCCACCCCTCATTGCAAGGCCATGCCACCTCTGCCCAGTCCCTACTCGTGAACTCCTTTCTGCCGATCCCAAGGGGAAGGAGAGATGCATGCAAAGGTCATGGGACAGAGAGACTGGCCAATCCCAGGCCACACTTGAGACTCCAAGAGGATGGAGCTGACCCCAGAGAGAAAGGCCAGAACTGGTGAAGAGGCAGGACTTCAGGTTCCTCTCCACTACCTTCACAGAGAAGGGCAAGAGTCCTGGGTCACAGCCCCAGGCGGCTTCACTCCTGCTGGTGTCGCAGTTCCCTTTGCCCCCTCCCCCAGAAAGCCCTTACATGGAGTCTGTTCTGTATCACTTCTTAGCAGGCCCTCTCCACCCTGTAGCAGTGGGGCCACCCATATCACTGGCCCCCACTGTGTGTAGAAGTGGATCGGGTAGGAGCCCAACCCCTTCTCAAGCTCAGTGGGTGGGCAGGTGCCTGGTGCAGAGGAGAGCTCTGTCAGAACCAGTCTGGGCTCTTGCAAGACTTATATCCACAGCAAAGGGCAGAAGCCATGCAGCGCTGAGACAGTGGAGCCACCCTGCCAAACACATACCTTCTACCCCAGAAGTGCTTGCTCACAGCACAGGAAATTGGGACATCTCAGGACCAGGCTTCCTCCTGCCCGTGCTCGCATCCACTGCTCTCCAAGACCCTGGCCTGCCTTCTCAGCCGATCTGGTGGGTGGGTGGGTGGGTGGGTGAGGAGGCTAAAGGATTGAGCCTTGCAAAGGCCACCTGCCCAAGCTGGATCCTGGGGAAATGCCCTTCCCGGAGAAAGAGCTTTAGCCTGGGCCCCAGAGGAGTGGGGAGACTCCCAAGGGGCCTGGCTAGAGGGACTGGGGCTGTGAAATGGCTGCATTTCCTCTTCTGTCAGGGTGGTGTCCAGCATGGGATGGGATGGGTCAGAGCCAGGGGAAAAGTAAAGTGACCCTTCAGATCCCTGAGGGAGCACAAGAACAGTCTGTCCCTGGGGCTTGGGGTCAGCGCCCCTCTGCAGAGAGCCACAGCAGCCAGGCTCAGGTATACACAGAAATGCAGACTCAGAAACCACCACCACTGCCCAGAGAATCCGGTTTCCCCACAAGGGGTGGGGCTGAGCACTCCCAAGAAAGGCTGGTCTGGTGTGGCTAGGGCAGGCAAGGCCACCCCTGGAGGTCTACTGGAAGTACCGCCAGCACCCAATACAGGCAGTGTGCTAGAGGGTGTTCCTTCCCCGAGGCACAGAGGTCACACACAGTGCCAGCCTGTTGTTCCCTCTAGGCCTGCCCCAAAGCTTGCCTGTATCCATGAGTCTGGCTGAGTCCCTCTGTCTCCCCACTGCCAACCATCAATACCCCCAACCCTGGCAGGCTTCTAGAGGCTCTCCCATTCTCACTAATGATGAGTAAATTCCCCACAGCTCTGGCTCTGCAGACTTGCCCAGAAATTCAACTAGAAATGAGAAAAGAAGGGAGCGAGGGGCCAGGGATGAGGGAGGAAAGGGAGCCCATTCAGGAGCCCATTCAGAAGGCGGCATGTGACCAAGAAACAGGGCCCTCTTGCGGGGAGGGAGGGGGGGACTGGTCACCTGCACTGAGGAAGTGAGGAAACCACAGCTGGCTCAGAAGTCACTTCCATCTCTGGAGCTCTGAGGGCAAGTCCAGTGAGTATCCCTAAAGAGTAGGCAGCCGGAGGGAGGGGGCAGTGGAAGGCCAGCTGCAGCTGCATGTCAGTCTGGGACTGAATTACAGGGTGACACTGTGAGGGCCACGGGTGCAGAAGTTTATTCTCTCCCTGCTTCCTAGCCACAGAAACCGAAACCCAACCTCCCTCCCGGGCCACTACTAGGAACCAGAGCGTTTTTAGAAAGCTTCAAAGAGGAAGAAGGCCTCATCCACTGTGCAATCCCCAGCAAAACCGGAGTTCTGCTGACCTCAGAGTTCTCCGGCCCCGTCTGCTGGACCGGAAGGCTCAAGTAAGCACTGTCATCCAACTTGGTGCCCCCTGGCCACCCCCACACAGCCAGTGACTCATCCCTGCACCTCCCCGCCCTGGTGAGAGGCAGTGGGATGCAGCAAAGGGCACGAAAATGAGAGGCCAGCTTGCCTGAGGTCTGGGGATGGGACATGGCATGGGCCACAGGCGACAAGGAGGGGCACCACCAGCAGCAAGCGGCCAGGTGGGAGGCAGAATGATGGGGGCAGAGTCACAGGAGAGGAGGGGACCAGGACAAGAGACCCTGGGCTCTGTTCTGGGGCCCACATCCCCAGGAGACAGGAACTGGTGGTGCAGACACAAGCGGCACACTCCCTTAAGGCCGGAGGCCACCCACAAGGAAGGAAAACAAAACAGCCTGTGGGTTCACACCCTCAAAAACCCCACAAAAAGCTGGCCTTTCCCAGAGAGCTCCCAGCTCTCCTCCCTCCCTCTCTCTCAGGCTTGCCCAGTATTCAGTGTGGGCTTGGCGGCTGCAGGGTTCTCTGGGCTTTTCCTCATCAGACCCCAGGCTCTGGGCTACTCTTGACCCAGTGAGAGTGGCTTGGGTGTCAGAGCCCGCCCAAATGTGGGAATCGGGTGTTGGACTCCAGGATCCGCTCCGGGCAGACAGGGTATGAGCCTGCTGTGCACATGGCAGGTGAAAGGGCACACGTTATTCCTATGTGGATGCACCCCACACTGTCTGCCCCAACCTTCTGGGCTTTCTCAAGACCACTTACCAGAGGAACTGACAGAGACACAAACCCTTCCTCCTCTGACAGAGACCCTGACCCAGGAAGTGGAAAGAGCTGAGGGTGTCCCCAAACCCAAGATGCAGCAGCTGCTGATAACAAACATCCAGAGCAGGCAGCACAGACACGGGAACGAGGCCAGGCCTCCCCAACTGGGCACCTTCCTACTCTCAAGATGGCTGGACCTTAAGAGCTTAGAGCAGGTGGGGGGTCAGGGCAGCGGACAGCAGATGAGCAGGGATACAGGTGCCCTGGACAGAACCTGGAACACACTCAAGGTAACAGCAGCTCCTAGAGCTGGAGGGTTGACTGAAGCTCCAGGGACAGGAGAGAGGGAGTGGGCCTGGGGATGGGTCCCAGGATGATCACCCTCTCTGGGAAGGATGCATACTTGGTCCCAGCTCTATGTTCCTCCTGGGAGCCCATACACCTGCACACAGGATGGGTCTGGAGAGGAAGGGGGCACACCGGGCGTCACATCAACAGGGCTGGTGCGAAATGCACTTTGCTGCAGGTTCCCTGATCTGCTCACAGGCTTGGGTAAATGGGAACTGGGTTTTACTGGTCCTTGGCAGCAGCAGAAGCCCAGAACACACTCAACGGTTTGGGTAGGTCGGGTTCGGTCTGGGGCGCGAAAGCAGACAAGGTCCGCTCTGCTTCCATCAGGGGTTCCTGGGATGTGCACACACATCTGTGCACACAGGTGCGCCTCTGTCTTGGGCTTGACAATAGGTGGCCTGGTCAGGTGCAGACAGTGAAAATGCTGCCTTCCTGGGAGGGATGGGGTCATCGGCCTATCGCTACCTGCTGTGTGAGGTTGGGCCAGCCACTTCACTTTTCTGAGCTGCAGGTGGATTATGCACAAGATGCTCACTAGCTTCCCAGCATCTCAGATCTGGTAGTTTTGTCACCACTAACCAGGGCTCACAGCAGGAGCATGCTCAGCTTCAGAGCTTCCTGCAGCTACCAGGAGACCTGAAAGAGCAGGGTGAAGAGGCATGCCATGGCACTGGGGACCCATGACAGTTTAACTTATCTTACAGAGAGTTAAGTAACCAGCCCAGTGTCACTCAGTCAGAAGGAGAACCTAAGCTCGGCCAGCTGGAAGCACTCAGAGCTCTAAGGTTGCCCTGGTCTTACCCTCGACCCTCCACACACCAGGAGGAGAGGGGGCGGCGATGCACATCTTCAGTTCTGGCCCTTGTGCGTGGAGCCCCTCTGCAGGGAGGGAACATGCCAGGCAGACACTTTTCAGCTTGTAAACAGTCATTAAGGAGCTAATAAACCTGATTTCCCAGAACCCTGCCCTGAGGCTCCCCACTTGCCCTGAAAGAGGCTGGCCCCAGCCTCAGCGGCTGCCAGGGCTTGGGGTTCCCTGGACACAGGCCCATCTGGGCTGTGCCCGTACCAGGCAGGCTTGCAAAGCCAGCTGTCCACTGCCTCCCCTCCCACCTTGCTTTGGGGCAGTGAGAGGTTCTCTCAATGAGGAAGGAGAGGGCTGAGGGCCAGAGGCAGAGCCGAAACCTGGCTGGGCACTGAGAAGACTGTGGGCACACTGCCACTGCCAAGCCTGTTTCCTTGGCTGGGAGATGGGTGGTGCCCTGACACACACCAAGCCAGCACAGATGACAGCAAAGATCCTGAACGTACAGTGCCTGGCATCCAACCAACAGTAGGCTGCTGGCTTTGTTTCCTCCTGTTAAGCTCTGCCACTACCATTCACATAGCCCCTATATCTGAGCTGAGAGCCACAGGGCTGTATTTGACAGGTAGGGACACTGAGGCTCAAAGACGCTAACTGTTCAGTCAGGGAGTAGGTCAGGCTGTACCCCCAGCCAGGGTCCCATGCTCTGAACCTCCATACTCTGCAGTCCCTCCCCCTAAGCATGGGCATCAGGAGGCATAATGGGGCACACAGGGCTGGCTCCAAGTAGCTGGGGTACCCAGGGCTTGGGCTCTTAAGCCCTTCCCACCACCAGGCGGAAGTGACAACTCCTAAGGCTAGGGCAGCACTTCTCAGCTTAGCAAAGGGCTTTGAAAACATTATCTCATCAAACTGAGGTGAGTGGCAGAGGATGCTGTCATTAAGCTCTCTGGCTGCTCTGCTGATAAGGTCTCCAATCCCATGGCAGTCCCCCCAGCCTGCTCGGCCAGGTCTCCCAGTGGCCACAGGAAGCCAGGAGGTAGGGAGACCTATATGAGTGGAAAAAGGCACTCCACGGGGATAAGAAGGCTCCTGGCGACATTGGTGACACTGTGGGCACAGGTACCTGAGCCATGCATGGGAAGGAGAGAAAAGCAAAGCCCATCCACTCACCCCAGCCCCAGCCCCATCAGCAGGAGCATCAGCCAGAGAGAGCCCAGTACAAGGACCATCAGCTCTGGGACCCCCATTACTGTGAGGGATACACAGCAGGCAGGTAGGGACACCCTGGAAGTGGGTGGAAGTGCACCTCGCTTGCCTTGGCCCCACCCTAGACATACCTACAGACAGAGTGACACCAGTGCTACTCCTCTGGACACATGTTCTTACCTGGCTAACGGCCCCCAAGGCAGGGGCTCTGCCACAACCTCAGTGTGTCATGCACAGCAGCCATGCTTGTAAGATGTCCCGAGTCCATGACCACAATAGCTCCACTCATTGTATCTCTGTCATAGCCACATGCTAGCTGATTTCCACTGGAGTCTTCACCCTACAATGCTCCCATTGTTCAGGTGGGGAAACTGACACACAGACCACTGAAGCAACTCGCACCCTCCTAGGCATGCTCTCATAGACCTCTGTCCCTGCTGGCCCCTGAACCTTGGCCTCAAGGGTGGACTCACCTAGTCCCCCATCCATCACAGCACTCACCCCACGCACTGGGCCAGTGCCCACCTGACTCAAACCACAATCCTGCAGGGTTTGGGCGGCACCGAGACCGAGCTTCAACCACAAACCGGCCTGTGGGTCCTGGCATGAACTTACTGAAGAGCCCCAATAGTGTACAGGCAGCTCTGTACCTCCCTGAAGATGAGAAGGAAAGAGGAGCTTCCTTTATACAATCTACTTCTCAGGGGGACAAAGGTCACTTGAAGGGCAGCCCCAGGGAAGCCCTTCTTTTGCCCAGCAGCAGGGCACGTGGCAGCTTCTCCTGTGAGGCCATCCATGTCCTGAGAGCTGCCCGGGCCTGGCAGCGTCCCCTCCCCAACCACAGTGCTACCCGAGGTCAGCCAGCACTCAGCAGCTGCTGGCAGCCACCACTCCTCCCCTAACCTGGCTCAGCTGGAGAGGAAGTCAGGAGCCACTTCCGACACACTGCACATGTGTGAGCTCACCCTGGAAACTCCCTTGGGCTGTGGGGACAACACCTAGGCCTGCTCCAAAGTCTGTGACACAGAGACCCTAGGGGATGTGCAGGTCACCAGGTCCTGGCGGGTCACCATGTCCTAAAAGGTCACCAGGAAAAATACACATCTCCCTTACAATATACCAGAGACAGATGAGGGTGAACAGATCCAACGGAAAGCACTGGATGCCTTATCCAAGTCACTGGGACACACTTGAACTCTTCTTGTTCTGAGCTAGTGTCTGTCTGGGGCAAAGTTCACCCAAGTAGGACAGGCATCCCAGTGGAAGCCACAGCAGTGACCCGAGCTCAGGCTACAGAAAACACACACACACACACACACACACACACACACACACCACCACCACCACCACCACCACTGGCCCCAGAGCAAGACTGAGACCCCTCAGTGGCCCTCCAGTACATGTGTGGGCATGTCTCAGTCCTCCTCTTACAGGAACACAAGTTTCCTTCCTGGATACTAAGCGAGTGTGGGTGGGGGTGTGGGGGCACCAGGAGCAACAGTGGCTCAGGGATGAGCCAACCGTGTAGGAGTCACGGGTAGTTAGTTTGCCAGGGAGTAAGCCTGGGGGTGAACAGCTCTGTACAAGTCTGAATTCTCAGCCTTGTACCTCAAGAGACACATGCAACAGGGGCCACCATGACAACTGCCCATCCATAGGAAAGATGAGCATTTCACTTCAGGCTGTTAGGGTAAAAGACAAAAGCCCCAAAACTGATCTGCCTGCCCTTTTGCTCTGCCAGGGTCCCAGGCAAGGGGCTCAGGTACTAGAGTGGACAGAATGAAGCAATGGAAAACTATTAGGAAATGGGAAGGGAGGGCCATGAAGGCGCCTGGGCACCTGGGCACAGATGTGGCTGCCTCACTGGACCTTGTCCCACCCTACCTGCCACTGATCCCCAGTATCAGAAAGCTGGGAGTCCAGCTTCAACAGTTCCCAGTCATGCCTACCGGGGTCTGTCAAGCCCACAGCTCTGTCTGTCGTCCCTCACAGCTGCTCAGCTAGGGTCATGAGCTGGGAGTCTCCTCCTCTAGCAGAGGTCCCACCGGCACATGGGCAGCTTTTTACTGCAGGAAGATCAAGGAGTCACAGGAATGAGGAGCCTCGCTTCTTAGGTATTATTTTCCTGGTACAAGTAACTGGAGGAGTTCAGTAGGTGCTTAGAAGGGAAAATTCCAGCAGGTCACATGGTATCACACATCCACACCAGCATTAGCAATCCAGCTTTGGGAAAAAGGATGGGCCCACTGCTCACCCCCACCACATGCCATTCTCAGGGATATCCAAGCTCCTGGGCTGCCCTGACTCACCCTGCATGGGAGGCAGTCCTGGGGTGAAGGACTCGCACTCCCAGCTTCTCCACAGTGTCCATATCTGCTCCCTGCTGAGCTTGTGTGAGCAGAGGACAGGTAGACTCCAAAGCTCCATGCTTGCCAGGGCAATAACTGCCCATGCACCTCCTTATGCATTCCAAGCTGCTCCCTTTACTACTGAGGAAAATGAGGTTGGGAGGGGAATCCGTGAGGTTACCTTGATGGACCAGGTGCTAGGGGATCTAATCTCAGCACAGCACTATCAGTTCTTTAGACTGAACAGTTCTGATGCTTAGCACCATCCCTGGCCTAGAACTTCAAAAGGCCAACAGCAACAACACTTGCCAATATTCTGTGACAATTAGGAAGTCTCTAGACATTGTCAAACATCCTCTGGCAGGCAAAAGTTCCCTATCGTCAGGAATGAACTTCAAGAGTTCTTTCCTAGGAATGTAGCTCAATGTAAAGACAGAATTCAATCCCCAGTATTTAAAAAAAAAAAAAGTGTTAATTCCCAGTTGAAAACTTATGTTCTAAAACAAGCTTCACTTTCCCCTCCCTGCCCTAATAGAGTGACAACAGTATGGCACAGATGTTGGGTTCATTATTCCACCAGCAAATGTCACACGTAGTGGAGTTCTGGGTCTAGCTTCGTGAGGGCGATTTCTCAGGAACATCTCTCTCTCTGCTTCTCACAGCCCCAGCCCAGAAGCCTTCTCCCTTAGGCTACCACTGTGCTGGGACGGCCTGAGAGCTGGATTACCACTTCGTGTCTGGGTTAGGTCAGCTCTCCATAACCTCCAACCCGACGCCCTAAACAACAGCAGAGGGAGCCAAACTGGTGAGAGGCAAGCAGAGGGGTTCCTGGGTCCCCCCGCTGCGCTCCGGTGCAGCCCGGCGGGTGAGCCCGCCCCGCCCGGCCCCGCCTGCACCTGTTCCACCTCGGCGAGACTCCGCGCCCAGACTTCGGCCCCGCCGCCCGTACTCAGCCGGGAGAAGCGGGAGGGCGGGGAGGCCTGAACCTCCGGCACTTCTGGGGCGAGGGCGGGGCTGCGCACTCCGGCCTGGACTGTCCCCGCTCCTCCTTCCGGACTTTCAATCGACGTTCCCCGTGCACAGTGACTCAGGCTCCGTCCCCACGTCAGAGCCGAGCCCGGAGCCGGCAGCCAGGGTCCCGCGCACCCACGGGTGCGAAGTCCAGCCCCGGCCTCCGAGAGGGCCCACGTGGGCCCCGTGCGCTCCGCAGCGCGGGCACCTCCCTCCCCCGTCGCGCAACCGCGCACTACAGCCACAGGGCAGCCCGGACGCGACCCCGCGAGCCCCCAGGTGCCTGGGGCCCGGCGCCATCCGCCGCCCCGCGCTCACCTCCCCACGGCCCCAAGTCCCGGGACGCAGCTCCGAGCGGCGCCGGCCCGCGGCTGGGCGGTGGCTCCTCGGGGGC